TTGTTGAATCACTGATCTTATTACTATTATTTCATTATTATTATTACTATTATTATTATACTGAATTCAGGTAGAAACAGCTATAGCGCACGCAACAACATTGACAGAGACAGATGTAGGCCGCGAAACGTGCCACGTGGTCACTTCCTCTCTGGTGGAAAACATCAAAGGATCGCCAGATCAAAGCGAACCGCAGAAACAGGCACCTGAATTCTGGGATACTTCTGTGGGACGGTTCCGCTTTACACTGGCTGATCTGCCACCGCAGCTTCGACTTATTCATTCCATCTTGACGGTACCAGTTGTGCTTTCCAGCAAGCAGAGAATATGCCTTACGGAGCACCGAAACTAATTGCCGATGGTTAATTCAGAATTTGGGGAACGAGCGTGAGGCCGATGTGCATTACTTCATGCTGTCAACGGTCAAACTCCTCTGCTTGCACTGCGAATCGCTGCTAAACGCCCGCCGTGAACATCGTGGATTCTTGATCTGGGCACAGGAGAATCTGCTCATCCCGAAACTTTGGCCGTCTCTTCGTTCAGATCGGTCCCAGGTATATTCAGATCGGTTCCGTGCAACAGATCCGACAGTCGGCAGGCGTTATGCATTAGAATATGGACATAAAGAAGTAAACTATTAGAGTTGTCCTCGAAGAGGTGGCGCATATGCACTGGAATGGGCAGTGAATACTAACTAGCGGTATGCAATCCATGATCAAAGGTCGCGCCTAACTGCAATCGACGTATCTAAGCATCCTGGTAACATCATTAACATGGAGTCTTCTCAGTAATAGTCTGCGCGCTCTGGTATTGTGAGATATATTCGATTAAGGTTTGTAAGATGTTCAAGAGGACATTGCAACATTTCAATAATATCGGAACTTGTCCCAAGCATTAGTAATGCTAATTTGTTGAAAATTTTTTGTTACAAGGAAGCTACTTCACTGAGTTCCAGCTCTTCGCCCAACTTTGGCAACACATTTGCTGTTACTGGTATTTTAGCTCGCCGAGTTGGTAATTCCGTTGATAATGCACTGCATAACGTTACCCAGCGGCGAAGAAATGTTCTGGAATGTGGTCAACGCGCAGTTCACGGACCAGCGTTGGGAAGAGCGTTTTTCGGCCGGTATGTTTTCTGTTGCGATCAAGTAGCTTGTAGCTCAGTTCCACTTCTGGAATACTTATACGTATTCGCTTTGTTAATAGTTTCTATGGGGACTGGTATTGACACAAATTTGAAAGTCACAATAGATTTCAACTTACTTATTGCAAACGCAGGAAAAAAGGAGCCACCGATGGCCATGGCAGTGCGTAGTTGCTGCTTTCATTTGCTCGAGCTATTTTCGAATGCCTTCGCTTCTCTGGAAATGACCTATGGAGAAAGTTTTGACTTTGGCGATGACTTGTTCTGTTGCTAGCGTTATTTTGTCTCTGATTCTGCAATTGTTTTAGTGGAACGGGCAACTGTTCTTTGTCAATTAGCGAATGCTGCTCCAATTAGTTCTAACAAAGTGATCCAGACGAGCTTGAGTTGCTGTATTGCCCACCTGATAGCATCGGTCGATGATCCGAATCCGGCTGTGGCTCAGCGTGCGCTACTCTCCATCAAGCATATGCCTTCTGCTTCCCTAAAGGTTATTCTCAGGCATATTTTTGTCTTTTCGAAAGCTTTTATAAAGCCATCTTGTGACTTTTCTTGTAAAACATAAAGTGTTTAAAGTCCGATTTTTTAGTGCATGTATATTTGCAAAAAAATGTCATTTTGCAGTTGATGTGCCTTTGTTTGGAGTCACAGTTCGACAGCTCAATTTTGGACCGTGCATTGATCATCAGTCGAATCCAGCAGCTTACATCTATTCTTCCAGATGAAGAAATTCTCACATGGGAATTTTTCATACAGCGCTTTGAGGGGCTGGCACTTGAGAGTCAGCTTCGTTCCAGCAATGGGGATTCAACATTTGTTCATGGTTTGCTTCATATTAAAGCATACCTGTGTGGGGAAGAGGTTCATTCCGACTGTACATCGTGAAACGCTTCAGTTCTGCAGATGCTGTAATTGGATTAGATGAAAGAAGACTATATAAATGTAAAAGTGTTAAAATTTTGGAATAAAAAAGAAAAAATAAACAAAAAAGTGCATTTAGATTTGATGCATTCGGATCCGCTAAGCGATTTATACCAACGCAAGATCGCGCGAGCTCGTCAGGCAATCGAGAACAGTGCAACTGCGCGTTCTATTGTGCGCACTTTACAGAGTGGCTCGATGCGTCATCAGCTGAGTAACGCCACTTATCGTCCCAACTGTAAGTTTAGGAAATCAGTTGGTCAAAAAAAAAAAAAATATCCACGGAAATAAACTGCGTGACGAGGAATAAATTTAAGACAGACAGGGACTGAACTGTCCATAACTTTCAACAAGTTTAACGAAGGAAAAGACGTGCTGTCTAAATTCGGCACATTTTTGGTGAGGCAATGTTTCTGGATTTTTTCCCACCATTTATCCAATCAATTTGATACTCGAAATCTATCATTTCTCAGTGCGGTTTTTTGTTGCCCTGGTGAGACTTGTAGTCCTAGCGAGGTCTGACACGTCTCTGGTCGAATTTGTTTCTTTAATCCTGTTCTGTACAAATTAAAAGATTTTGACGTTTTTGTTTGTTAAAAGCTTCTGAAGACGCAATGAACTGAAGGGGAAGCCGTTGCCGAACTGGAACGTGGTGACGCAAAGCGAAAGTCCAAGGCGGCGATCAGTGCACGGGAGAAGATCCGTCGGGTGGTAACTGTGGTTAGAGTTGTCTCGGTTTGGAAACAATTCTCTAAGCGTCTTCAGTCTCTCACCAGTATGGTCTCAGCTTTGGCTCGATCTGCTGCGACCCAGTCGTACTGTATGTACAGTATTCGGTCTACTTTGGTCCCGTCAGTGTGCCTTTTCCAACACAACCCATGCATTTCAAAAGCACTCCTCCCGTACGTCGCACGGTCCTTTTTCCCAGTTATCACTAAGAGGCCAACGTGTTATGATCAATGCTCCATTGCCCACATGGTCATTTTTTTTCGGCACAGTTTAGTGTTTGTAAAACCATTCGGGCATTTGCTTCCATTCGGACTACTTCCCGATTCTACGATTTTCTCTTTAACGTTCGCAGTCATGCTGTCTGTGAGTTCGTCAAAAATTATGAATGAGATTGCTGCAAAGCGCGATATATGCGAGTTCCATTTTTTTGCGTCTGCTGTCGAACAATGAGTCGTTTCTCTCAGTGCATGGTAACTTGCTTCGATTGCAATGTCAAGTACCGCAGCAGTTCACCGCGATTCCTCTCTGCAGCCTTTTTTTAACACCAGAATAAACGGTGCTCTCTTTTACCACTTCCCATATTTATGATTACTTCTAGCATGGCATGGCGCATTTGCCCCAGCTCATGCCCCACAAGTGCTTTTTCATTCATTTTTTCACGATCAGACTCAGTGACCACGTGTATTTGTTTCCCCAAGCACATCAGAATCAGTACAAATAAAATATCACTTCTTCAGCTCATTTTTTTCAGGTGAAGAGATAAAAGAACCAAAGCAAAGTCCATCGTATTCAGGTGGAGGAGGTGAGCGCCTTAATCTAAAAGCTTGTAAATTATCAGAGTGTTCTAACCGTTCCCTGGCATTCATATGCAAAATTCATTTCAAAAACTTTAATATTTCGTGGCTTTCTTCAATTCGCTCAGTCGACTAACCAAGAAAGAACTCAAGTATGACGCAGCAAGTTTGCCGGCAGTCATTGCGTTTTTGCGCCAAACTTAAGGAAGTTAAATAGTTAATAGTAAGAGTGTTGCTGCATTACAGTTTAACACGCGGACCCATGTTGCTTTGTTTTGTCCGTTCCTTGCATGATCGGGAAAGGGGTGGCAGCTGGGATGGTAGCTTTACACCTTATTAGCAAAAATATGTTCAGGAAATTATGGACGTCTAAGGGAATTTGCGGACGAAGAAAGTAACATGTGTTTATTGCTAAATCGAGTGGTAGATATGGAGAATCCAGAACGACACATCCTGTATCTGACTGTATCGTTATTTGTCTCTTTTTTATGCAAGAATAAGAAATCTGGTGACGAAAAAGCGACCGCCAAGAAACAAAGTGTTCTTTTTCGGCATTTCAATACGCTTATTGGATATAGCAACTCTGAGAAGTGCTTTACCATACCACCTAAGCGTTTACGGTACGTTTAGCGTTTTTATGCTATGATTTCCACTAAAAAAAATTGTATGCAGTTTGACCTCGTGATGTGAATTATTTGTAAATCAGTGACAAGTCCCGTGAAGCCACTGCTTAATTGAATTGGAATACGGCGAGAGAAGTGCATCAACAATTCAGCGCAGCTTTTAGTCTACCGTAGCTTTGATTTGATGAATGGCCTAATACGTTTGAATAATTTTTGTGCGTTTTTTTGCAGCTATGCAATGCGAAAAACGCATATTGACAAGAGATTGTCTGTGTGTGTGTCTGTGCGTCTGTGTGTCTGTGTGTCTGAGTGTGCGTTTGTTACGGTTTTTCATCTCAAAACCTACAAAAGCCACAGGGCTGAAACTTTGGGAAATTAGTCTACATGCTCGTACGGACCCAGTCCCCAAAA